GAATTCGTTGATTTTTAATCTTAACCCTCTATTACGTATAGTTTCCACCCCGACTTCTTTGTTTCCATATTTTCCATTTCATGTATGATTTTATTAAACCCGCTATCTATTATTTTTTCGATTTCCGTATCTTTATAAATTGCTTTATTGCGTGTTTTAAAAGACGTCTCGATGGTTTCCCCTAACTGATTTATCATTACGCAATCAGCCCACATATTTATTTTAATTGAATTGTGTTCTCGGAGGAAGCATTTATTCTAATAAAAACATCGTTTCTGATACTATTAAAAAATTTAGTTAGGTCGTAATTGTCGTCGCATCTAATAAAATAAGACCTCAACCTCCCTTTAAAAGCCGTCTCATACTCTGAAAAACCTGCAGCGTCGGGTTTGAGACCAAAGAGGTCCTGCCGTTGTGGTTCTTGTCTAGGTTTTTTCCTCGGGGGTTCATTATTGCAAAATTCCTCATGTCTAAAATAATTATAAATGTTTGTAAAATTTGTTCCGCAGAAACGGCAGGACCTCTTAAAAACTACTTTACATGCAATCTCATGCTTTAATCTAGTATCTTTTCGTGTAAACACCTGTCCACATTTTCCACAAATAACTTCACAATGGTTATCAAAATTATCAAATCGGGACAGGTGTTTACACGATTTTTCATGTCTTAAACGATGATGTTCTCTATTAAAAGATTTCCGCAAAAAGAACAAATCAATTTAATATTGTTAAAAAATTCTTGGGTTTGAGAGGAATCCCCACAAATAGCCTCGTGTCGTATTCTGTTATCTGATCTCGAAAAAGATTTGCCACATTTGGCGCAAATGCACGAGGCTAGTTGTGGAAATTCCTGACTATAAATACATGATATTCATGAGCCATGCACTCTCTATGGCTAGCAAATGTTTTATCACAGTTGGCACATTTCTTGATGAGGATTCCATTTTTTGTAAAATATATATTTAATAAAGAATAACTATATATAATAATAAAAAAAAAATTATCTCCGACCGATAAATGAATTAAAAAAAAAAAATATAACTAAAAAAAAAAAACGAAAAGAAAAACTCTATAAACTAGTATAAATATATATATAACAATAAGAAAACGAATGAATAATAACTTTAAAAACGATAACAAGAAACACACACGAAAATAACTTTAAATATATATATAATAAGAACAAAAAGAATAACAATTACTTTGAAAATGAAGAATTATAAAAATTAAGAATACACGAAAATAACTTTAAATATATATATAATAAGAAGAAAAAGGAAGAATAATTACTATAAATATAAAGAAAACACGAAACGAAAAAACTTTAAACTTTAATAAATATATATAATAGTAAGAGAAAAAAAAAGAACACTATAATAAGAGAATATGAAGATGTAAAAAGAAAACCCAAAAAGAAAAATGTTAACAGAATAGAAAATTTTTAATAGAGAACTAAATAAAAAGAAAAAACTTACCTTAAGATAGAAAAAAAAGTATGAAGAAACAAAAATAACTTTGAAATAAAGAAAAAACACTGTAGATAACTATAATAAGAAACTAAACTAATAATCTAACAAAACTGTAGAAGAAGAGAGAGAGTTCTAACGCAGAGGACACTAAGTACGATAGGAACACTGTGAAGTCTGGAGCTAGAATGAGAGTAGTGGGGGTAGGCACACGGCTCCGGCTGTATCCTCGAATCTGATTGGCTGATGGTTTCCCCCACCACTCTCTTCCGACCCTACGGCTTCCTTCGCAGTGGACCTTGTCCCCCTACATGCCTATGCATGTTCAAACGTGAAGAGACTTGTCGCTTAACGCAGCTGTACTCTCCACAGATTTATACACTGTACACTTTAAGATTTATTTTTTCGATATTAGAGTCTACTATTAGGTTATTATATTTGTAAAATTCGAAAATGATATTAGTTTTAAGATTGATTAATCGAATTTCGATTTATTACAATATTCGTGATATTGGAGATGTATATTCTTAGATTATTAAATACGTTTTGATATTTATGAAAAAAAAACAATATATAAAAGTTGATGAGAAGAAGAGGGGGAGGGGATGGGTGATGACGTTGTTGTTAATTTTATGATATATTATCGTAAAATTATTAGAATATAGTGTATATTTCATTGTTATAATTTATATTCGTTTGCAATAATATATATTTTTCTCGTTACACTTTATATTTACTTGAGGTAGACAAGATGGGACCAGTTGAGACATGATATCGTAGAATGTCACAATATATGTCTATATTTTTCTCGTTACACTTTATATTTACTTGAGGTAGACAAGATGGGACCAGTTGAGACATGATATCGTAGAATGTCACAATATATGTCTATATTTATGTCGTTACACTTTATATTTACTGAGACGTAGACAAGATGGGACCAGTTGAGACAGGTCCGGACCTTTCGAACTTAAAAATGAAAAAATACAAATTAGGATTAAGGATTAGGATTAGGGATTAGCATTAGGGATTAGCATTAGAGATTAAGGATTAAGATTAGGGATTAATATCAATCAAAATAAATTAAATGATTGAGAAGTTTTTCTTTATTTCTAATTTAAAAAGGAATGAATTCTAAATGTTATCGATGTGGGGTGGAAGGGTAGTAATTCAGCTTTCCTACAGTTATACTAACGTTGAATTTGGAGAAAATCCTGAGAAGTTATGAATACTTTAGTTATCGGCCAGGAATAGAAATCCTCTTAGAAAAGCAAGCATTAAATTTTGCAATTTTTGATTTCTATAAAAATTCGTATTTAAGAAATTCAAAAAAACATTAAAAATTAAACTATCTTCATTTTTCATAACAAAAATTTATTTGGGCTACTTTACTGGAAGGGTCTTTTGGTTTTTAATTTGTGATACATTATAACTCATTTAATACAATAGCCAATAATTTTTTCTTATTCTGCACAAAAAGAAAACAATTGATATAGTAACATAAATTTTGTTTGAAATTATGTATAATATTTTCTTTCTTAGCTCCTAGGGCCCATTGGAGAACGCTGGGATATGTATCCAATATTTTTCGATGTATTATCACCAAAAAAATTTGGTTGCAATCGGTAACCCACAAACTGTTTCCTCTCCTTGTTAGTTGAAATTAATATCTTCATTACTTTTGTTGAAATCATATTTGTGCTATACATTTCCCCTCTCCTCTTCTGAATTTTGTTAAATGGGTTATACAAAGTTTCTTTTTGAGTATTAATCAATTACATCACGAAAGTATTACTGTGCCAAACACCTTATGATCCGTAATTATCTTGACAAATTTTATAGTTAAATATTTATTTGTTGATGTCAGTTGTGATAAACTTCTTGCACTTTCTAAAATACCATAATTATGACTGAACTTTAATAAAAATTTCTGCAGAAGCATATACTGAAGGGAGGTGGTAGGTGTTGGCTCTTCTGTGATCTGTGGACGGTCTTTTGGAATTAATTCTATTTCATATTTCGACTATAAATTGACTTTGTAATATCCAAATATTAAAATCTAATTTAAAAAAATCCAACTATTGATAAAATGTTCGTTATCACGATTTCTTGAAACACCAAAAATTTATCTTTTCTTCCTTTATTTTTTCAATAGTATTAGCATTTAAATTATCAAAGTTGGTATGATTATTTACAAACTCTTTTAAGTTGTTTGTTATGTATATCGATTCCTTTATTCTATTCCTTTATCGATTCATTTACTAATATTGTTTTCATTTTGAAGAACCTTAGCGTTTTTAAAATTGAATTCGTGTTTTGTTTGCACAGTATGTTAAGAAAGCCCAGTAGCTAATTTAGTTTTTGTAGTTTTTGAATTGTAGTTTTGTTTATGTTGATTAAATCTTTTTTCAAATTATTGTGATGTCTCTCTATAATATGATTTATTGTTACAATTTTTACATTTTATTTTATAATTTTTTTTTATTAATTTATCTGTAGGTATTTTATCTTTATTTTTCGAATAAATTTTATCAATTTTATCGATTGATTCACTTGTAAATTTAATTTAATTTACGTCATATTGCTTAAACGTTGTTTCCGTTAAATTTCTAATATATGTTAGACTAAAATATTTTTTAAGGTGTTTGTTTTCCATTTAATTTTCGTTCTGCGTTATTATGTGTTATCTGTCGTTAATGTAAGTTTACTGTTGTATAGCATTATAAATTTTAAGATAATTTGTTATTAAATTTGGTTCTTTATTAAATTTATTGTTTTGGTTAATTTTTATGTTTTTATTACCATTAACTTCATTCATGTGTTTGATATTGTTGTTATTTTTAACTATTTTTTTTATTTGTATACCACAACTTATTTATTAATCTAATGGGGTGCTAATTTTCTAATAGAATTTTATATATTTGTGATTTGATTTCCAAAAATAGATTTTTTCTATATTTCACAACAATCGATGTACCCTCTCCCTCTATTACACCTTTTTTAAATTTTTTAATATCTTTTATTTTTTAATCATTTGGTTAACTTTGACATTTTTCTCTCTTCCTGGGGTTGGTGAAGGACATTATTCTACAGTGTTTACAGCATCTGGTGAATCAATTTTCAACTCCTTGATGTGCCTATTTCCCAACGTTCTTGAACCCTCATCGACAACCTCATATACCAGATTTGACTATACATACATACATAGATGGCACTACATCCCATCACCGAGCTTTCGCCGGTCAATACGATCAGCTGCAGCAGCCCTCCAGTGTACCAAGCTATAACGACTCCCAGTAGAGCCGATGTCACTGAGTCCTCCCATCTTACATTTGCCCTGCCAACCTTTCTTTGTCCATGCATCTTTGCGGACAGTATCTTCCTGGGTATCGCCGAATCATCCATACGTGCGATGTGCCCGGCCCATCGAAGTCATCCTATTTTGATGAACTTGACCAAGTCTATATCCTTATTAGTCTACATCCTTACTAGCCAGCGAGTTCGGCATTTTTTTTTTCACCCCCCCTATACCCTTTTCATACTTCAATGCAAGTTTGGCAGTATAGTATTTACTTAGGTCTGGGAGTGTGTGCGTTTTCTTGGACTTGCCACAACCCACTGTGGACATCTTCCGTGATTAACCTTAGTTTTTCATCGATCTTAGTCATTTTCTCTGATCCATCATAAACCACATATTGGGAGACGTGGCTGAATAACTCGTGTCCAAAGTTAAGAAAGGTTGGAGTGTAACCTGTTGTCTCATGACTTTGTACCTTATGTTTTGGTACCATGGATACCGTCTCCTCTCCATTAATTACGAGTGCTGCTATAGTTGAGATGGGGTCTGAAGGTGCACCATCTACTGCATGAGATAAACCATCAGCTGCTATATGTTCCCTTCTCAGGTCGGTGCTGAATATGGTAATCGTAGGTCTGAAGGCATAATGCTCACTGAGCAAATCGACCAGTTGGATCTTGCAGATGTAGTCACAGAAGAGAATGATTGTCTGTAATAACTGTTAATTTAGTGCCTTTTCAAACTTAACTTCGAACTAAACTTTTCAATTGTCCAAATGACTACTAACCATTCCAACTCGATTGCGGAGAGTTTTTGTTTGGCTCGTGTCAGAGACCTACTAGTATAAGCATTATATATATATATTAATATATATATATATATTATATATATATATTTTTTTTTTTTTTTTCGGTTGGCTCTACAGACCTTGTAGATCTTTGGCCGATATATATATATATATGTTATAACGGTATTGTTCACCAGCTGTGTATAGATTTTAAAAAGGCTTACGATTCTATTGATCGCCAGAAACTGTATAATATTCTAATCGAGCAGGGGATTCCAAAAAAACTAGTAAATCTAGTCAGGATGTGCTTGACGGAGACACTCAATAAAGTTAGAATCGGTAATAATTTGTCCGAAAAATTTGAGGTTCGTTCGGGCTTAAAACAGGGGGATTCTCTTTCGCCTGTCCTGTTTAATTTGGCATTAGAACATGCCATTAGGGAGGTAATGCGAACCGAGAAAGGGTTGGATCTGGGCGGGACAACATCCATGCTGGGCTATGCTGATGATCTGGTACTGTTAAGTGAAGACGTTGAAACTATAAAACTAAATACGACAACGTTAATGAAAGCCGGTAAAGAACTAGGACTCGAAATAAACGTGGATAAAACAAAATATATGGTTAGCTGCAAAAATGGCGATACTACTGGTGATATCGATATAGATGGTAATATGTTTGAACAGGTAGATAAATTTAGGTATCTAGGTTCTACGATAACTAGAAAAAACGAAATTGAAGAAGAGATTAAGGTTAGACTGAAGGCGGGGAAGGCTTGTTATTTTTCTGTGACAAAACTACTTAGTTCGCGCCTCTTGTCCCGAAACTTAAAAATTAGAATCTATAAAACAATTATCTTGCCTACAGTTCTTTATGGATGCGAAACTTGGCCGCTTACATTAAGGGATGAGCAGCGTCTTAAGGTTTTTGAAAATAAAGTATTGCGTAGAATATTCGGACCGAAGAAGGATGAGTTAACCGGAGAGTTCAGACGGTTACACAACGCCGAATTGCGTGAGCTGTATCCGGGTGATATAATTGAGGTAATTTCATCGCGGCGAATCAAATGGGCTTGTAAAGTTGTTGGGCTTAGTAACGAGAGAATTCCTAAAAGGTTAATATTTGCTGTGCCGAATGGTAAGCGTCCGAGGGGTAGACCGAAGCGAAGGTGGGAAGATTGCATTAAAGCCAATCTGAAGGGACTGGGTTTGGACGGCGAACGGTGGAGGGAGGTGTGTAACAAGCGATTGGTGGTGTCGGCATCGAACCTTCGGGTTCGCTAAGCCTTATTATTATTATTATTATTATATATTGTAATGTCAACATTACATGGCATTTGGATAGTGGCGCAAACGTGGTGATGGCGCGAACTACGGGAAGAAAGTGGGGGAAACAAGCTTCATGTAAGGCAGAAGGAGACAAGCGGCCAAGGGGGAAGGTGCCAGCCAGCAAGTGGAGAAATTAGGAAAAGGAGTCTTAGCCGGTTCGAGTGTTGACAGAGGCCACTAGTGAAGATTATTTTATGTTGGAAGAAAGAATATAGCAGAAATTAATTAAGTGGTACAGAAACATTAAGTGGACAATCGTAAGTAAGAAGAGATTATTTCGCTGGCAGGCGTCAACATTTGGGTGAGTGCTAACAATGCCATTTATGTTGACAGAGGGATAGAACCAAAAGTTTAGACCGGGACAAATTATTTAATAAAATATTTTAAATTATAAATAAGTGTAGTAGTAATTAATGAATTAGTGTACATTGTCTTTATAAATAGGAATGAGTGTTCAGGTGTCAGAACCCAACCTAAAGATGTATATTATGTGTTAAAATAAATAATATATTCAAAAAGTAAACTCATTTGTTTGTTTTTGTTGCTTTTGAAAACGTTACAATATATATATATATATATGTATATGTATATGTATATGTATATATACACTCAGAAAAACTGTTTTTGATGTTTTGCATGCTCATTAGTACTAATGAAAAAATTGTATGATATTTTAATTAGACGTTTTATTTTTTTAGGTATTTGGAAAAAAACCTATCTGAACCTGAATTAGAAAAGGCTGAAGAAGAAAGAGCTGATCGTTGCCTGTTTGTTCGTGATCTGATATTTGGTTCCTTGAGTGAACCACAAGGTGATTTGAATGAAAAAATATTTTCTCTTTTGAATGAGGCTGGAAGAAGCTCTACTGATATTTTTATGAAAGGCTTTGCATCATCCAGTGATCAAGATAAGGTTGAAACATCTATATCTGTGGGATCTGTTAAACCTTTGAAGAAAGAATCTACAGGTAGTTCATTAGGCAATGATCCTCAATGTAAACAGATTCAGGATGAACATGGCATTTCTGAGTCATTCCAAACAGCTACAAATTAACACCAATATTATTCTAGTCCTTTGTTATAAAATTTTTCGATAGACATGTGAACACATGACTTGTGATAAGTAAGAAGATGATGAAATTTAGAATTTTATAAGTTAATTTTTTTTTTTGTATTATTATCCAATGAATGAACTTGAATGAATGATTAATAACTATTTAATGGAATTAATTTTTACGAAAGTTAAATATATGTTCATAAGTATTTTTATGTGTTTTTGTTTTATTAATTTGGTATTTCTCCTTTTTTCAAATGTGTTATATTTTTATTATTCCACAGTACATACCCACTTTAATGAAATCATTAACATCCGTCTAAAACTTCGTGAATGGATTCATCTTATTGTAACATAAAACTTTTTCATTTACGAAAATTCTCAGAATCAGGGCGTTTTCTCATTAAATATACTAATTTAATGATTTAATAAAAAAAACATGAATACCCATTAGCTATTCATTTTAATCGTAAGATAATTGAATCACAAAATTGAGAAAAAATGTAACTTAAAAAATATAAGGACGTTGGGTATATGCAGCCTTTTTATTTTGACTTGTTTATATTCTACAGTATTTTTCTAAGCCACTTTTATCTTGATTTTGTTATCAAATCACAGTCAACTCTCGATAATTCTAATTTTTCGAAAATTCGTTAACTTCAGTGAATTAACCCAGTCAAATTAGCACAAAAAAGGAGTTTAGCTTGCAAAAGGTTGAACAATTCAAATTTGTTTTTTATATTGTTAGATATGTAGTAAATACAAAAAATCACAGTTTCCACCCTTGAAAGCCTTGTGTGTTCGCTGCAGTGCACAGTGGTCCCTAAGGGTGAAAAAGTGGACATAATACTATTTTTTACGTTTTTCTCTGGACTAGAACTATCTATATCCATTCAAAGCTATAGGTCTACGTTATCCATAGCCAGATTTTTATACCGCTAAAATAAATTGTAATCTTGTGAGTCTAATTGAAATAATGAAAAACGTGTACAAAAGGGGCTGTATTTGGCTAACCAATAATTTAAGTTTTCACTAAATTATTATAAAATATTTTTACTTTCTTACCAATAAGAGGTAAGGAAAGTATTGCAATCGGGTCAAATTTCCAATATGCTCTTTTTGTGATCTGTACGTTTCAGAGCCCCCTGAGTTCGAAAAATACATTTTTAGCCATTGGTCTGTCTGTGCCAAGATTTTCTCGGGAACTAGTGAACGGATTTTGTTGCTTCATTTTTTATTTTATAGGGTTTTGACTACTGATGCCTTTGACACAAATTGGATGCTCCATGTCCAATAGCTGCTACGCAATAAATGAAAAACATGTTTTTCTATTGACTGTAGCTCGAAAATGGCTCTAAAGATTTTGATAAAACTTTCCTATAATGTTCTAATAATTTTCCTTTCAATTTTCATATATGGACTAAATTCCTGAGAAAATTCAGGAAAAAAAGTTATAAAGAAAAGAAAAATGTTTTGGACCTAACTCCCTAGTATATATTTTATGGTAAAATTTATAATAAAGCTTTTGAAAGGTAATAAAATTACCTACAAAAAAAAAAAATTCTTTTCAATCAAACCAGTATTAGTGATGATACAGCTTATTCTATTTTCTATTTTAATTTATTATTTTCCTAAATATACTAGGCAAAGAAAGTATTGCAATTGAGTCAAAGTTCCGATATTCGGGTTTTGATGGATCTATACGTTTCAGAGCCCCCCGAGTTTGAAAAACACATTTTTAGCCATTGGTCTGTCTGTCTGTCTGTCGGTGCCAAGATTTTCTTGGAAACAAGTGAACAGATTTTGTTGCTTCGAAAAAATAAAAAAAATATAGTAAGATATCTCACGGTGTTTACTATAGTTTCATTTATTTCTGATAATATTTTATATTCATTGCACAGATAATGGACTATGTTTAGTAGTGATGTTATAAAACGAAGAAGAAGAAACAAGGAAATCTATTGAAAAATTAAGAAATAATAGAACTGTGTCCAAAAAAATCGAGTTTGGAACCACTGTGCAGTTCTCCAAACAGCATTGAAATTTTGAACTATTTTAATTTATGCTAATTATCTCCTTTTTAAAGCGACATAGATAAAAAATGGTCATATTCAATCATAAACAGCTTACAATTATCTAACATTTTTGTACATAAAATTTTTATCTAAACCCAACAGGAAGTGTACTATTGATTTTTCAATATGGGTAAGGTAAAGTTTTGAAAATATGCAAAAAACATGCATAATTTTTAATTTTTAACAATTATCTGTTTTTATAGGTAATATAGCTCAAATTTTTAAATTAAATATTAAAGCACACAATTTACTATAGCTTTTACAAGTAATATATTTCTCTAAACTTAATAACTTAAATACATATCGCTAAAAATAACTTAATGTTTTGAAATAAAAAAAAACTTATAATTTTATTTTTACTTTTTCCCACTTATTTTAATGAAATTAGTCATCAAAAATTACTGTTTTCCTTGTTACTTTTAAATGAACTTGATTCTAACACAAATTTATATAGTGAATATTATCCAAATTACATACCTTTGTGTTGTTAGGGATTGTTACCATATTTTTTTGATTTCTTCACAAAAAATTGTTTTGGACAATTAAATTA